CTTAGTTTAAGATGGTATTTAACACCGGTAAAATTAAACAAAATTAACACCAGTCATCCGAATGTCTGTTGGAAATGTGAGAAAGAAGTTGGTACATACTTTCATATGTGGTGGGAATGTGAAAAGGTACAAAGTTTTTGGAGACAAATTTTTAAAGAATTAAGTTGTATCTGTGGAAAAGATATAGAATGTAAGGCTGAGATTGCTTTGTTATCAATATATGAGAATGTGGAATATGACAAAATGATTAAAGAATTGATAACTAATTTAATAACAGCAGCTAGATTGATTATTGCTAGACAGTGGAAATTAAAGACTGAATTACAAATTGAAGAATGGTATAAAGAAATATGGAATATAGCATTAAATGATAAATTAACTTGTAATTTAAAGATGAAGAAAGGAGAGTTGAAAAAGAATAATTTTTATGTAATATGGGGCAAATTTTTGGAATATGTGTTAATAAGGGGAAAAGGGAGAGCTCCAAATCAAGAATCTATGCAGTTCTGGAGAGGAGGACAATAGAAGAAGAAGAATGAGAAGAAGAAGAAAAAGAAGAATATGGCAAGAGGTCCCGTATATGGTGGTGGGGAACACTGTTATTGTGTTGTAAGTGTATATGTTTTATGTATATGATTTTTTTGTTATAGTTATAAATAAATAAAAAAATATATTAAAAAAAAAAAAGGAAAAGAGTGTTTGTGATGACCAGCTTGTTTTCTTGACAAAGTTCTATTAGCCTTTGCCCTGCTTCGTTTTGAACTCCAAAGCCAAACTTCCCTGTTGTTCCTTTTATCTCTTGACTCCCTACTTTAGCATTCCAATCCCTTATAATGAGAAACTTTCTTTGGTGTCAGTTCTAGAAGGTGTTGTAAGTCTTCATAGAATTGGTCAATTTCAACCTCTTCAGCATCGGTGGTTGGTGCATAAACCTGGGTTACTGTGATGTTGAAAGGTCTGCCTTGGATTCGTATTGAAATCATTCTATCATATTTGAGATTGTGTCCCAGTACAGCTTTTCCCACTCTTTTGTTGACTATGAGGGCTACTTCATTTCTTCTATGGGATTCTTGCCCACAGTAGTAGATAAGTTGATCGTCTGAATTGAATTTGCCTATTCCTGTCCATTTTAGTTCACTGACACCCAAGATGTCAATGTTTATTCTTGCCATCTCCTGTTTGACCACATCCAGCTTACCAGGGTTCATAGATCTTACATTCCAAGTTACTATGCAGTATTTTTCTTTGCAGCATCACAGTTTCCTTTCACTTCCAGGTACATCTGCAGCTGAGCATCCTTTCGGCTTTGGCTCATCCCCTTCATTAGCTCTGGAGCTACTTGTCCTTGTCCTCCACTCTTCCTCAGTTGCATGTTGGACGCCTTCCAACCTGAGAGGCTCCTCTTCCAGCATCATATCTTTTAGCCTTTTGTTTCTGTCCATGGAGTTTTCTTGGCAAAGATATTGGAGTGGCTTGCCAGTTCTTGCTCCAGGTGGATTGCATTTGGTCGGAACTCTCCACTATGACCTGTCTGTCTTGGGTGTCCCTGCATGGCATAGCCCATAGCCTCTCTGGATTACTCAAGCCCCTTTGCCATGAGAAGGCAGCAATCCATGAAGAGGAAAAGTTGAAGGCAGGAAGAAAAGTACCAAATATGAGATGAATTGACTACCTAAAGGAGCCCACAGGCTTGATTTTACAAGGGCTGAGCAGGGCTGTTGAGGACAAGACATTTTGGAAATAGCTCATTCATAGGCTTGCGATAAGTTGGAGTTGACTTGATTGTACACAAAACAACAACAAATGAATCCACAAGCTTCTTAACTTTATCACTTAAAGTGAAGTGTGGCTTTTTAAAATTCAAAATGTTCTGCAGGTGGCTTGACAGCACATGACATCAACAGCCACAAAAGTCAGAAGCTAGGTTGTTAACACAGTCTTTAGTTGACAACCTAGCTGGTACCATAAAACTTATCATTTGATCCAATTATAATTATGTTGAAAAGCATTGGGTTTTTTTTTACTGCTGAATGTAAAATCACATTAAAGGGGAAAGTTTGTATATTATACTTTCAGACAGTGTGAGAACTTGATAAATGTCCTTTGCATGATAGATTGATTTCCATCCATGTGAGGACAATATAGTTAAAGACATGTTTTATGAGAATAATTGGCCACAAGATAATGCTCACTGTCCCCCACCAGGCAAAGTCAGAATTTTTCCCAAGAGTGTTCTCACAGAGGGCTATGAGACAGCTGTCTCCTTGGGATTGTAAATGGAAATAAATTAACAAAGGAAAACTATCACCTAAACACCAGGAAGAGCACTTCAGCTGACTTGCTGGAATAATAATGTATTGTGCCTATAGAACAACACAGGTTTCTTCTGGATCAAAGTTAAGAGTAGTGCCCTGTTTTTTTCTTACTAGGCATTGGCTGGAATCATGTTAATATAACTACAAAAGAAATTATCAAAAGACAAAAATTATGGCCTTTGGTAGAAGACAAAAGAAAAGGCCTTGGATGATACCTGGGCAATCTCTCGAACAGGTTTCCTGTTTTAAATATCTAGGTATGGCCCTTCAATCCACTGGGGACAGAAAGGCTCATATACAATATGCAGCTACCCAAGGGGAAAAAACAGCCATCTTAAGTTTCTACTACTCCAAAGGGGGTCGATATAGTCCAGTAGCCCAAAAACTCTTTCAGGCAAAGGTGGTCAGCCGGATGCTCTACGGCACCTTTATAGGGCCTCCATCTAGCTGCTTTGACCTGATAGAGCGGGTTCAGACTAAATTCCTTAGAGCAATTCTTGAAGTACCAAGATGCATACCAAATGCACAAATACGTTTAGAGACAGGCTCACTAAGAATGGTAGCTAAAATTACACTAGCCTCCCTTCAATACTGGCTTAAAATAAATTATCAGCCACAGGGATTAAACCATTTACTTCTAAAGGACAATTTTCAATCGAAGTGGCTGAAAGCGGTCCTAAACAAATTGCAAGTTATGGGCTTCTCTCCACAAGCAATACTGAGTATGCAATGGGATGAAGCAAAATCAGCCCTCAAACAGAGAATAATGGACATGGAAAGACAGATAGACCTCGGTAGATGCCCCAACTTTAGAGCGATGGACACGCACAAATATCGCGTGCTCCCCATGGCCTATTTGTCACAGCTTGAGACATATACGTATAGGAAAGCCTTTACTCTGGCTAGATGTGAGGCCTTTCCCTCAGCAGACCTGGAAGGCAAGTTTAAGAAGATCCTGAGGGAACAGAGACTCTGCCCTTGTGGGTCTGGTGAGATAGAATCCATTGAGCATATGATGCTCAGATGTAACAGGCATAACAAGATTCAAGGAAAATATATTACACCCCTCTTAAAAGATATGACAAGCCAGTCAGACTCGGACTACTGTAACCAATTGTTAATTGATCAAAATCGGAATACTACAGAACTGGTAGCGAAATTTTGGGTGGCATGCCATAGTAGGCAGAATAGATAGCCAAACTTAGACATTGGTCTTACATTGTCATATTTGTAGTTTTAGTGTCTTTTGCTTATTTGACTTGGCTTTTTGTAGCATATGTCAGTATTTGAAGCTCTGCATTTAATTTTGTTTTATTTATATGGCTCGATGCTGTAACAATAAAAGTGTGTGTGATAACTACGTGGGTCTAAATGGTGATGATGTTATCAGCTCGTGATGTAAATATTTAATTAAATTAAATTAAAAACTGCAGTCAGGTTCTGAGGCTCTCTAGGACCTATTTGGACTTGGGAAAACTTTAAGAACCTTGGAGGAAGGAAGTTTTATTACGTGAAAATTGCTTTCGGATCACTGGCAGTGATACTGATCTCACTGGTGGAAATCCAGTAATGATTTTCAGATATTAAAGGCTCCTTTCCCCTGAGCCAAGGCTACCAAAGATTTCCCCAGATCAGGAGGGATCCCTAGGGAGCCTTGGAACCTTGGTGGGAGCAGGGAGTAAGCTTGAAATTAAATTAAATTAAATTAAAAATGAATGGTGCAGGCTGATGATTGCCATCACCATTTATGCTCATGTATTTATGCCATTGATTCCATCCATTGGCATATTGAAGATCCTCAGATTGACCAAGTAAATCACACAAAATAACTGTTAGTCTTTAAAAGGCCACTGAAACTTACATTTTTAGGGTTTGAAATAAATTTTCAGAGTCTCATGATGCTTGCCTGGAAGAGACAGTGAGTGCTAGGACACCCCACCCCCCAATCATCCATGGCTTGGATGTAGGAGAAATCTACTTTCTAGCCAGCTCCCAACCCTCTCATCTTACTAATGGGGCTGGTGTGGCAAAGCTCCAGTTGCCCTCAGAGTTGGTCAAGAGAAGCACTGCAGATGACCCCTCCTTTCTCCAGTACCTATTGCTCTGCAATGCATCATACCGAGGCAGGCCATAATAGCTGCCAATAAATACAGTCTCTCTCAGAGTAATAACACTAGAAAAGTCATTAGGAAAACTTCCTTAGGATTGCTGTACCTTGCCCTGGTAACATTCCGAGAGTCAGAAGAGGCAGTAAGAAAATTCCCCTCCTGAATGCTTGACAAAACACTGCCCTTCTGATCTGGTAAGTGTGGTGAAAGGGAAGATGGAGGGGTGTAATTAGGGGATTGGTGAGTACAAAGTATTTGGAGGAGGAAGAAATTATGTACTGGGGGTTTGGCCAGAGAACAAACTCAACTGTGGCTCAGAAATATGCTGAACAACTCCTCAGTTGGGGAAATTCTTTTGCTTAGCAAACCATGCTCAGCAAATCATGGGTGATTCTACAAACGTGTGTATTCTGGAAATTGGTGATATTTGTTATTAAAAGTAGCACTTCGTAAATCTCTTTTTACATCTTTGTGTACATAATATTTTTCATTTTGAGAATTAACGTTTGAAAACAAAATGCTATTGCTATCCTGGAAAATACTGTTTTCACTCTGCAAATTCTTTTTTATTTTCTAGCATCCAGAAAATCAGATGGTGATAGCAGTGATCAAGACAGCATGAAGGTAAACTCTGAAGGCAGGAGAGCATATCATGAAATGTTTGCTTTCCTTAACAGGGCAGGGTTTTCAAAACTTTCTTCTTTACAGTGACATCCTTAGTTGTAGTAGTTTCCTTTTAACTGGCAACAGATTAAACTAAATATCTATGCTTACTTAGGCTGAAATCATGTCAAGCAAATTATATAATAGAGATTTCATAAACAAGTAGGCTTTTTTTTAAAGTGAGCATTCATTTGCTATTCTGTTTTGCTGCCATTTGTTCATATACAGCTGAAATAACTAGCTGAAAGTGCCAGTTTAGCCACTCAGAGTAAGCAGCAGGTTGACAGTACTGTGATGTCACAGTAGCATTTGAAACATTATTTTTAAAAGATAAAATGTTAGTGATAAGATTTTCTAACCAAAAAATTGATTGTTACTGTACTAATACAGTACATTGCTCTGAAATTATTTTTACTTTTTCCAACTCTGCCAAAAAAAAAAAAATAGAAAAATGATCCAAATTACATAAAAACAGCAATTTGAAAGTAGCAAAAAGCATTGTTCATTGCACTTGTTACAGTAATTATATTGGAAAGGGAACATTGTGACCTTAGTATTGCTGAAAGAAACGTATTACAGGGAATGTAATACTTATAATGCACTACATCCAGACCCTACATCACATTTTTGTTCAAGACCTCTCTCTGTGGAGAGTGCCATTTCTTGTAATCATATGGACAGAAATAATTGTGATTTCCCCAAACCTAGAATTGCTCAGGAATTTCAGTAGCATCCCTTCTATGTGGTGTCATAAACAACATGGAGAAACAAGGAGTTAAGATCAGTTTCCCTTCCTTGTCTACCTTTGTCCAGTGAAGAGATAACATTCGGAAGAGCTTCCAAGGGTCCCCCCACCCCAGGAGAGGTTTTGTGCCTTTTGGGTTGGCCTAGGATAGAATCAGGATAGAATCACTTCAGTATGGAGCTGGGGATTTGTTTTGTGCCAGCATGGCTACCGTTCCTTTCGTTTCTTTGAGACATTACCTGTAACATTTTGTGGATAAGAAATGTGTAACTGCATGACTTTCACAAAATTACAGTCATTGACATGCTTCCCAAAAAGTGCAATAACATTTTTGTTGTTCTTTTTAAAACATTGTTTTTTGAAAGAGAAAGTACAAAACAACCCACAAGCCCAGTTTCTGCCACTGAACTGGTAGTGAGACAAATGCCCTTTGAAACAGAAGTGTAGCCTGCAAGCTTTAGCTTTCACTTGTATGTTTCCCTTGCTGTGTGGATTGGCTTGAAAGCATCAAAGGTTTAATTTGGGGATTTCTTCTTCTCAGCTGAAGTCTAGCTGGCTAACTCTGAAAGGAGACATGGATGCCAGAACCAATTCTTCAGAACTGGATACTCAGTCACTCCCACAAAGTCCTGGAACTGACAGAGATCTTCAACGACTAAATAATAATGCAAATTGTACCTACCTAAGTAAGTTTTCCCCCTCAGTTGTGTCAGTTAGGGACACAGTATTCAAAGCCTAGAACAAATTTGTCCCATTTTGGTTAAAACAAATACAAAAGGTATATCAGAAGGATTATCATTTTTGATACTTAAAAGTGACTTTATATTAATATTGTAATGCATATAATAGGAGACAAACAAAATTAAATTGATGTGGAATTACTTCTATGGTTTATAGGAGGGTAGATGTTGGAGATGTCCAACTTTGATTTGTTACCTATTTCCTTGTCATATGTTGAAGTACATAATTTTTTTGAGGTAGGCTTTATAAAATGTTTAATGGAATATGAAATAAACTCATGTTTTTAAGTTGCACTGTTAAATTGTATAAATATTGTTAATCTGGAAGATTCAGAATTAGCTACATGTTTGTTAATTTTTGGAAGACAACTTACCGGTTGAAAGTGAAAATCTTTCCATTCCTCATCTAACTTGAATTTGTACAAACAGGAAAGAGTTCTTGACATATTAAAAAACAATAAATTAGAGAAAGAAGGCTACCCACCTGATAATTTTATAGAAAATTTGAGTTTATTTATTAGCCTTTGAAACAAATGTTCACAAATACATTCATTCTTATGTATCAGTTCCCCTTGTAAAATTGTGTTGTTGGACTTTATGCATGTGTAAACACATTATTGTTACCTTGGAAAGAAAGAAGTAGTAGAAGTAGTAATAGCAATACAGTGGTTCCTCGTATAACGAGCGCTCCGTTTAACGATGAATCCACATAGCGATGCGGATTTTGCGATCACAAAAGCGATCGCATTGCGATGTTTCCTATTTCCGCCCAGCTGGGGGGAGAGGGCTTCAGAGCGACCACAGTGGAGGCTTACCAAGCGGTCGCTCCAAAGCCAGTGCCGCCCAGCTGGGGGAAAATGACTGCCCGCAGCATTTTCGCACCTCGCTTACCGAGGCGGCGAAAATGGCGGCCGGATGGGGGATTCTTCACTTACCGGTGAGTTTTTCCCCAATAGGAACACATTAAACGGAGTTTAATGCATTCCTATGGGTCCCCCCCTCGCATAGCGAAGAATCCGGATAGCGACATTAATCCTGGAACGGATTAACGTCACTATGCGGGGCACCACTGTAAAATGAAGTGGTAATTAGAAGCGACTCCCATGGAGCTCAGTGTACTTTGCTCACCTGCTTTTACGTGCACATAGAATGAATCTTTGTGAGGCTTATTTTTTCATTATTCTCCATGTGGTTACCCTCTGTAGAAGTTACTCAGACTTTGTTCTTTCTTTCTTTATAACAAAAACATCACTGTACAATTAATTTATCAGGTAATTTTTGTCCAATGATTGGCAACATCAGGGACCTTTGGGCAGCTAGTATGAAATCTTCCATGGCACATGTTGAGGGGCATAGAGTACACTGACCTAGGTGTGGATTTGCTTGTTCTCCACATTTGCAAGGAACTGTGTCAGTACAAACCCCATTTTCTTAGGTTCACGTCCGATCTGTAACCTACTAGGTGACTTCCAAGTAATCCAGTTCTTGCTGTGACTGGGAGCTAGAGCTCCCTGGGGTTCCATCCATTTTAAGAGGTGGGTAATGCTTACTTTCCTCATGATAGTCCTGGCATTCTCTGCTGTATTTTCAAGATTTACAGATATTCTGAAAAAAACACTTTTCCTTGGTTTTAATCTGGGGGAGGAGGAATGCTAGCACATTTAATGTAGATGATGAAGTCTTTCATGGTTAGTAGCTACCTCTCTCCATATGCCACTGGATGTAGTGCTTGCTAGATAATTGATTTTATCGGAGGGGGGAGCTCAGGCATCTAGGAATAGTTCTACACTGCAGCTCTCACTGAGTGTCTAGCTCTTCTGAATTGGCTCAGCTACCATATATCACTACTACTCATTCTAGGGGACTGCAATGCTAAAGTAGGGAGTCAAGAGATTAAAATGAACAACAGGGAAGTTTGGCTTTGGAGTTCAAAACGAAGCAGGGCAAAGGCTAATAGAGTTTTGTGAAGAGAACAAGCTGGTCATCACAAACACTCTTTTCCAACAAGAGGCGATACTACACATGGAAATCACCAGGTGGGCAATACCGAAATCAGATTGATTATATTCTCTGCAGCCAAAGATGGAGAAGCTCAATACAGTCAGCAAAAACAAGACTTGGAGCTGATTGTGGCTCTGATTATCAGCTTCTCATACCAAAATCCAAGCTTAAACTGGAGAGTAGGAAAAACCACTGGGCTAGTCAGATATAATCTAAACCAAATCCCTTATGAATACACAGTGGAAGTGAAGAACAGTTTTAAGGAACTAGATTTGGTGGACAGAGTGCCTGAAGAACTTTGGATAAAGGCTAATAACATTGTACAGGAGGCAACAACAAAAACCATCTCAAAGAAAAGGAAATGAAAGAAAGCAAAGTGGCTGTCCAACGAGGCCTTAGAAATAGCAGAGAAGAGAAGGGAAACAAAATGCAAGGGAGATAAGGAAAGTTACAGAAAATGGAATGCAGACTTCCAAAGAATAGCAAGGAGAGACAAGAGGGCCTTCTTAATTGAACAATGCAAAGAAATAGAGGAAAATAATAGAAAAGGAAAAACCAGAGATCTGTTCAGGAAAATTGGAGATATTAGAGGAACAAAGATGGACATGATAAAGGAAAAAATGGTAGGGACCTAACAGAAGCAGAAGACATCAAGAAGAGGTGG